TGTTCTAGATGTTACCGCTGTTCTAGATGTTACCGCTGTTCTAGATGTTACCGCTGTTCTAGATGTTACCGCTGTTCTAGATGTTACCACTGTTCTAGATATTACCACTGTTCTAGATGTTACCGCTGTTCTAGATGTTACCGCTGTTCTAGATGTTACCGCTGTTCTAGATGTTACCACTGTTCTAGATGTTACCGCTGTTCTAGATGTTACCACTGTTCTAGATGTTACCGCTGTTCTAGATGTTACCGCTGTTCTAGATGTTACCGCTGTTCTAGATGTTACCGCTGTTCTAGATGTTACCGCTGTTCTAGATGTTACCGCTGTTCTAGATGTTACCGCTGTTCTAGATGTTACCGCTGTTCTAGATGTTACCGCTGTTCTAGATGTTACCGCTGTTCTAGATGTTACCGCTGTTCTAGATGTTACCGCTGTTCTAGATGTTACCGCTGTTCTAGATGTTACCGCTGTTCTAGATGTTACCGCTGTTCTAGATGTTACCGCTGTTCTAGATGTTACCGCTGTTCTAGATGTTACCGCTGTTCTAGATGTTACCGCTGTTCTAGATGTTACCGCTGTTCTAGATGTTACCGCTGTTCTAGATGTTACCGCTGTTCTAGATGTTACCGCTGTTCTAGATGTTACCGCTGTTCTAGATGTTACCGCTGTTCTAGATGTTACCGCTGTTCTAGATGTTACCGCTGTTCTAGATGTTACCGCTGTTCTAGATGTTACCGCTGTTCTAGATGTTACCGCTGTTCTAGATGTTACCGCTGTTCTAGATGTTACCGCTGTTCTAGATGTTACCGCTGTTCTAGATGTTACCGCTGTTCTAGATGTTACCGCTGTTCTAGATGTTACCGCTGTTCTAGATGTTACCGCTGTTCTAGATGTTACCGCTGTTCTAGATGTTACCGCTGTTCTAGATGTTACCGCTGTTCTAGATGTTACCGCTGTTCTAGATGTTACCGCTGTTCTAGATGTTACCGCTGTTCTAGATGTTACCGCTGTTCTAGATGTTACCGCTGTTCTAGATGTTACCGCTGTTCTAGATGTTACCGCTGTTCTAGATGTTACCGCTGTTCTAGATGTTACCGCTGTTCTAGATGTTACCGCTGTTCTAGATGTTACCGCTGTTCTAGATGTTACCGCTGTTCTAGATGTTACCGCTGTTCTAGATGTTACCACTGTTCTAGATGTTACCACTGTTCTAGATGTTACCACTGTTCTAGATGTTACCGCTGTTCTAGATGTTACCGCTGTTCTAGATGTTACCGCTGTTCTAGATGTTACCGCTGTTCTAGATGTTACCGCTGTTCTAGATGTTACCACTGTTCTAGATGTTACCGCTGTTCTAGATGTTACCACTGTTCTAGATGTTACCACTGTTCTAGATGTTACCACTGTTCTAGATGTTACCACTGTTCTAGATGTTACCGCTGTTCTAGATGTTACCACTGTTCTAGATGTTACCGCTGTTCTAGATGTTACCACTGTTCTAGATGTTACCACTGTTCTAGATGTTACCACTGTTCTAGATGTTACCACTGTTCTAGATGTTACCGCTGTTCTAGATGTTACCACTGTTCTAGATGTTACCGCTGTTCTAGATGTTACCACTGTTCTAGATGTTACCACTGTTCTAGATGTTACCACTGTTCTAGATGTTACCACTGTTCTAGATGTTACCACTGTTCTAGATGTTACCACTGTTCTAGATGTTACCGCTGTTCTAGATGTTACCACTGTTCTAGATGTTACCACTGTTCTAGATGTTACCACTGTTCTAGATGTTACCGCTGTTCTAGATGTTACCGCTGTTCTAGATGTTACCACTGTTCTAGATGTTACCGCTGTTCTAGATGTTACCACTGTTCTAGATGTTACCACTGTTCTAGATGTTACCACTGTTCTAGATGTTACCACTGTTCTAGATGTTACCACTGTTCTAGATGTTACCACTGTTCTAGATGTTACCACTGTTCTAGATGTTACCACTGTTCTAGATGTTACCGCTGTTCTAGATGTTACCGCTGTTCTAGATGTTACCACTGTTCTAGATGTTACCGCTGTTCTAGATGTTACCACTGTTCTAGATGTTACCACTGTTCTAGATGTTACCACTGTTCTAGATGTTACCACTGTTCTAGATGTTACCGCTGTTCTAGATGTTACCACTGTTCTAGATGTTACCACTGTTCTAGATGTTACCACTGTTCTAGATGTTACCGCTGTTCTAGATGTTACCACTGTTCTAGATGTTACCGCTGTTCTAGATGTTACCACTGTTCTAGATGTTACCGCTGTTCTAGATGTTACCACTGTTCTAGATGTTACCACTGTTCTAGATGTTACCACTGTTCTAGATGTTACCACTGTTCTAGATGTTACCGCTGTTCTAGATGTTACCACTGTTCTAGATGTTACCGCTGTTCTAGATGTTACCACTGTTCTAGATGTTACCACTGTTCTAGATGTTACCACTGTTCTAGATGTTACCGCTGTTCTAGATGTTACCACTGTTCTAGATGTTACCGCTGTTCTAGATGTTACCGCTGTTCTAGATGTTACCACTGTTCTAGATGTTACCGCTGTTCTAGATGTTACCGCTGTTCTAGATGTTACCACTGTTCTAGATGTTACCACTGTTCTAGATGTTACCACTGTTCTAGATGTTACCACTGTTCTAGATGTTACCACTGTTCTAGATGTTACCACTGTTCTAGATGTTACCGCTGTTCTAGATGTTACCACTGTTCTAGATGTTACCACTGTTCTAGATGTTACCACTGTTCTAGATGTTACCGCTGTTCTAGATGTTACCACTGTTCTAGATGTTACCGCTGTTCTAGATGTTACCGCTGTTCTAGATGTTACCGCTGTTCTAGATGTTACCACTGTTCTAGATGTTACCACTGTTCTAGATGTTACCACTGTTCTAGATGTTACCACTGTTCTAGATGTTACCGCTGTTCTAGATGTTACCACTGTTCTAGATGTTACCGCTGTTCTAGATGTTACCACTGTTCTAGATGTTACCACTGTTCTAGATGTTACCACTGTTCTAGATGTTACCACTGTTCTAGATGTTACCACTGTTCTAGATGTTACCACTGTTCTAGATGTTACCACTGTTCTAGATGTTACCGCTGTTCTAGATGTTACCGCTGTTCTAGATGTTACCACTGTTCTAGATGTTACCGCTGTTCTAGATGTTACCACTGTTCTAGATGTTACCGCTGTTCTAGATGTTACCACTGTTCTAGATGTTACCGCTGTTCTAGATGTTACCACTGTTCTAGATGTTACCACTGTTCTAGATGTTACCACTGTTCTAGATGTTACCACTGTTCTAGATGTTACCGCTGTTCTAGATGTTACCACTGTTCTAGATGTTACCACTGTTCTAGATGTTACCACTGTTCTAGATGTTACCGCTGTTCTAGATGTTACCACTGTTCTAGATGTTACCACTGTTCTAGATGTTACCGCTGTTCTAGATGTTACCACTGTTCTAGATGTTACCACTGTTCTAGATGTTACCGCTGTTCTAGATGTTACCACTGTTCTAGATGTTACCGCTGTTCTAGATGTTACCACTGTTCTAGATGTTACCACTGTTCTAGATGTTACCGCTGTTCTAGATGTTACCACTGTTCTAGATGTTACCACTGTTCTAGATGTTACCGCTGTTCTAGATGTTACCGCTGTTCTAGATGTTACCACTGTTCTAGATGTTACCGCTGTTCTAGATGTTACCACTGTTCTAGATGTTACCACTGTTCTAGATGTTACCGCTGTTCTAGATGTTACCACTGTTCTAGATGTTACCACTGTTCTAGATGTTACCACTGTTCTAGATGTTACCACTGTTCTAGATGTTACCACTGTTCTAGATGTTACCACTGTTCTAGATGTTACCACTGTTCTAGATGTTACCACTGTTCTAGATGTTACCACTGTTCTAGATGTTACCACTGTTCTAGATGTTACCACTGTTCTAGATGTTACCACTGTTCTAGATGTTACCACTGTTCTAGATGTTACCGCTGTTCTAGATGTTACCACTGTTCTAGATGTTACCACTGTTCTAGATGTTACCACTGTTCTAGATGTTACCACTGTTCTAGATGTTACCACTGTTCTAGATGTTACCACTGTTCTAGATGTTACCACTGTTCTAGATGTTACCACTGTTCTAGATGTTACCACTGTTCTAGATGTTACCACTGTTCTAGATGTTACCGCTGTTCTAGATGTTACCACTGTTCTAGATGTTACCACTGTTCTAGATGTTACCACTGTTCTAGATGTTACCGCTGTTCTAGATGTTACCACTGTTCTAGATGTTACCGCTGTTCTAGATGTTACCACTGTTCTAGATGTTACCGCTGTTCTAGATGTTACCGCTGTTCTAGATGTTACCACTGTTCTAGATGTTACCACTGTTCTAGATGTTACCACTGTTCTAGATGTTACCGCTGTTCTAGATGTTACCGCTGTTCTAGATGTTACCACTGTTCTAGATGTTACCACTGTTCTAGATGTTACCGCTGTTCTAGATGTTACCGCTGTTCTAGATGTTACCGCTGTTCTAGATGTTACCACTGTTCTAGATGTTACCGCTGTTCTAGATGTTACCACTGTTCTAGATGTTACCACTGTTCTAGATGTTACCACTGTTCTAGATGTTACCACTGTTCTAGATGTTACCGCTGTTCTAGATGTTACCGCTGTTCTAGATGTTACCACTGTTCTAGATGTTACCGCTGTTCTAGATGTTACCACTGTTCTAGATGTTACCGCTGTTCTAGATGTTACCACTGTTCTAGATGTTACCACTGTTCTAGATGTTACCACTGTTCTAGATGTTACCACTGTTCTAGATGTTACCGCTGTTCTAGATGTTACCGCTGTTCTAGATGTTACCACTGTTCTAGATGCACCGGACACGTACACATAGAACTCGGAGCAATGCTGAGTTTCCGGTTTAAACTTACGTCTCTTTGGGCACATGGTCTGTGTAGAATCTGAGGTGGAGAGACGAAAAAGGCATGCACACACACACACACACACACACACACACACACACGCACGCGCGCACACACACACACACACACACGCACGCACGCACGCACGCACACACACACACACACACATATGTACACATACACACAAACACACATCATAACTTAGCATGTGTATGTAGGTAACGCCAGTGTTACACGCCTCTTCTGCATCATGCTAAACACATACTGACACGTACTGACACGTACTGATATTATGTGCAAGACATGCCGGTGAAAAGATTCTTGTTCGACCCATAGTCGCTTCATGCACATACAAGACCAATTTGAAAACCGACTTTAGGAGCTGTCCTGTAGCATGTCAGCGAGTCTGAGGATGCAATATTCATTGATGCGTGCTCTTGTTCCATTGGGGAATATCATATACAAAACAATAGGATATGCCCAGAATCCCCCACTACCCAAATTGAAAACCATGCTGGTTGACATCTCTCTCTAGTACATGCGCGCTATGAACAGTTTCATTGATATGGTGTGCAGTGCATACGAATACTGTAAAGGTAAGTATACCCAAACAGGATGACTATTCGCAAACAGGATGACCACATTCACAAACAGGATGATTGCATTCACAGAAAGAATGACTGCATTGAGTGCATTCGGAAACAGGATAACTGCTTTCGCAAGCAGGATAACTGCATTCGCAAACATGATGACTGCATTCGAAACATGATGACTGCATTCACAAACAGAACGACTGCATTCACAGACAAGGATGACTGCATTACAACACAGGCAGCACCTGGATATGTTGAAGAATAGCTTCCCAACATATCGCCACTAGGATATACAGACAGGTGTCTAGCTCTGAGCTTACTTAATAAGCAGTAGTCAAATCTCATCTGGTCACCCATAACGCCCGCTAGATATGCATCGCTCAGGCCGCTTGGGTCTTGAGTTATAACTCCGCCGGGAGGCCAGATCACCGTGCCTCTCCACTTGCCCGCCACGGGGCTGGAGATCACTGAACCATTTGGCACGAGTGCCAGTAAGTCAGCAAGGCGCATGTCTGTCCACGTGGGACATGCCGCATTGTCATAGATGCAGATACCAGTCGACGGGACGTCGATGAATGCGATATGCGCGAACGTGGTGTTGGCACGAACGTAGCTGAAGTCGGACTGGCTCGTGGAGTTGAGGACACGTATGCCGACAAAGTGAGGCCCAACGACAACGGACCGGTTCCCAATAGTCATATCACTATTCGGAACAGACTTCAGTAGGTCCGGGCTGGGTGCTAGGATTGAGCAAGACCGGAATAGGGTGCGAATGTCAGTCAATGCATACTGGCCAAAGTTGGTGCAACCTAACACACAGCAGATGACAAACGCACGCAACGCACGCATGTAAACCAGTTTTAAAACAAACACAAATAACCACTGTCAAAAACTGATCACGCACTTCCTCTCGTCATGGTTATCTGTTGCAGTTAAAAGTGTTAGTGTTTTTTCAGCGCATTCACAAGCCCAATTTGTGTATCCAAAAAGAGAGTACCGTATTTTCCGGGGTATAAGCCGCACCGGGGTATAAGCCGCACCCCCCTTTTTGAGGCAAAATATTGACTAAAAGTTGGTATTCGGAGTATAAGCCGCACCCACAAACCAAGATTTTTCACACTCATTGACAAATGGCCTTTCTACAAATTTATTATGGTTATGGAGCTAAATACCATGTTAGATCAGATTATGAAGTGTTAGTGCACCACAGGTTGCTGCAGAGATGTTGGTGTATTGCTGTGTTGACTACAGATCACTCTATGTCATCTGCACTATCTTCAGTCTCGCTGCCACTGATGTTGATCAAAGCTACCTCTGCAGCGATGCCGTCGCCGTCTTCATCGCTGCCGGAGTCTGAACCATTGTGGTCCTCAAAGATCATGTCATCTTCAGTGCCGTCCAGTGCATTTGAAATTGAGCACTTTTTGAATGATTTGGCGACCATTGTAGTTGGGATGGCCTTCCATGACTCATCCACCCATTTGCATACTTTGGAAATTGATGGTTTCTTCATACGGCCTGTTGGTGTAAACTCATGGTTTCCCCCAATGATCCAGTCCGTCCAGTGCTGCCTGATGTGGCACTTGAATGGCTTGTTGAGGCACACATCAAGTGGCTGAAGCTGGGATGTCAGACCACCAGGGATAACAGCAAGGTCGGTCCGTGTTTCACGAGTACGTCTTTTGAAGTTCTCTACTAGATGTGCACGAAACGAGTCAAAGACAAGGCAGCTTCGAACAGGGGTGCTCCCACGGCCACCTTGCCTTGCACACCAAACCTTATCCAGCCACATATGCATTCCAGCTTCATCCATCCAGCCTTTGGGATGAACGTGGACAATGACATCAGGCGGCACTGCATCCTTTGGCATAGTCTTTCGCTTGAAAATGACAAATCGCCGTAACTTTGTCCCATCGGCAAGGCATGCTAAAGCCACAGTAAAGTGCTCTCGTTCGTGCCCTGTCGTTTTGATGTGAATAGTCTTCGCTCCGATTTTGTCGATAGTGCGGGAAAAGTGCCGGGGTAGCAACACAGGCGCGAAGCTGAGTCGAATGACATGTCACATGATGTCAGCATGCATACTGATGTATGCTAAGCATTCATTCGCGCAAGCATATTCGGTGTATAAGCCGCAGGGGCGATTTTGGTCCGATTTTTAGCGAAAAAAAGTGCGGCTTATACCCCGGAAAATACGGTATTATTACTCTAAAATTGTGACATAAAACTAGTTCTAAGGACTCGCATTGTCGCCTTCTTTCAGGTAGCTGGCATGCAGACATCAAATGACTGGTTACAATAAGATCTAGCAGCCCAATGATCCAGCAACCCACTTCTTGGTCAAACGATGCCGTATCCCTTCTCAACCCACTTCTTGGTCAAACGATGCCGTATCCCTTCTCAACTTCACACGGGCTACTACTGTATAAGTACAAATTTTCGTTCACGAAATCTTTCGTTAAATCACTCCACCAGCCGGCGTGTTACGTACTAGATTTCGTTTTTGGTCGAGGTCTGCCACCCCAAACGTTCAGAAGAAAAACTTTAGTTATCTCGTGCCCCCTAACGAATATAGCGAAAGTTAATTCGAAACGAAAATCTGTACTTATACAGTACCAACATCAAACACAATGCTGTCTTCAAGTAGTACAGGCAATACAGTAGGGGTCTATGCTCACCGCTGAAGCACAGATCAAAGTCTCCATTTCCATAGCGATGGAACCCTAGTGAAGTATTCCTGGGTGAAAGTGATGTCCATTCGACAACGACTATGCCACGTGTGGAATTGTACGAGTGAAAGGTTCCCGTTGGGAGAGAGCGAGCAGTCAGCCCAGAATTGCAGATCTCCAGCCAGTCCGTCAACGGAGATTTGTATTTTGTTGGCATAACAACCGTTGACGGCCGGAGGGCCGCTTGCAGCTCCGCAGTTGTGAATGTGGCCAGCACATCCGAGCTAAAACCTGTAGCAGAGCACAACGCAGACTGGATGTACCAATGCTGAATGTACGGAAAGGTGTGTGTGTGTGTGTGTGTGTGTGTGTGTTGTGTGTGTGTGTGTGTGTGTGTGTGTGTGTGTGTGTGTGTACATGTGCATGCGTGTGACTGTGTGTGTGTGTGTGTGTGTGTGTGTGTGCGCGCGCGCGCGCGCGTGTGTGTGTGTGTGTGTGTATGTGTGCATAAGTCGAGAAAGGGAAGACATCCTACCTATAGCCACAACTTGGCAATGTCCAGGCACCTGGTCTAACTAGGGGTTCAAGCGGTGCCAGGACCCAGACTTTGTCAAAATTTCAAACCAAGACTCGTCCTACACTTTCCTAAATTGAAGCTAAAGATGAGGTCCGTTCGCCATTCTTGTAGTCGCTTCAAGGTGGCAAGTTAAGCCAGCATACCAACCCACCTTCTCGGATGATCTGCTTGAAGCTAGGACACACGAATCCGCATGGACATAAGCCAATGTTCCCTGAACAAAATGTTAATCCCAGGGCATGAACTTACTAGGAGTGTCTAGGTCATACTTGGAGCCGATTCCCATTCGGTGAACGGCCACAATACCATTATTCCAACGAACGCGCACCAGCTGAGCATTACTTGGCTGATCAACGAGATTGTAATCACTCAGACTCTCCAAACTGAGCACAGTACCAGTCAAGCCATTGGTGCTGGCACACCAGAACGATTCTGTCGTACGAAAGAACGTCTTCTGATTGACGATTTGTCTGGTGAACAACTGTTCGCGCTCACTGTCCGAAGCATAGGGCCAACATCCTGAAACAACACACAACACAATAACGGAAACGCTTCTGCCACTTTGAAGCACGAACATGGTGATGCAGGGTCCAGTAACCCCCCAGGTCTTACTGCACTAACAATTCGATTGAAACTCCTTGATCATATGTTGAGCATCTTGTAGCTCACTGACTGGTCATTTTCAGCACTCTGGCAAAGTATGCTCAAGCATGGCTTATATGCTGCTTTTCAGAAACATAATTATATTTTCAATGCTACCAGGTTTGGCCTCGTTTCCCCGTGCTGATGAGTCTGCAAAGGACAAAACATTTCTGCCGGCAGACTGAGTAGGTCGAGGATCTATACAATCATGTATATGCTTAAATCTCTGGACAGTTACTAGGTGATTTGACCTTGTTAGGTCCCATCCGCTGAGGTCTGAGTCACCGTCTGAACTGATCACAATGAAGTCCCGTGTACAGCAAGATGAGAACGTTGAATTCAAAGAAAAAAGATGACGAGAAGACGTAAGGAATATGTGCTTTTGGTCCTCACCAAGATAGCAACTACTACTAGCAGCAAGAGTATATTACCCCCCCCCCCGGCCCTCCCCAAGAGTGTGAAACTCTGCACATGGGGTCTCCGACGGCGAAAACTCACATCACGTGTCTCAAGTACGTTTTGTACTACGTACAACTAAGGATAGCGTACGCGCAATCCGAAAATCTGCTATGATTATGCTGGGGATCTGCATACGCGCAGTGAGTTTCTGCCAGGGAGTGCTTTTATTATTACTTCGCTGCTCGCTAAAACGGGCTGGAAACGTCAACTGCCACACTACACCACGTGATGTGGGTTTTCGCCGTCGGCATACCGCATAGAAAGGGTATCAGGAGTTTCACACTCTGGTATATTATACTCATTTGCTGGCAGGATAGAGTCAGACCTCACTGCAACATACACACAGGTGTGCAGGTGTGTGACCAGCACTACTCTCAACTCAGAGTACACACACTTCAGGTGTGCAGGTGTTTGACCAGCACTACTCTCAACTCAGAGTACACACACACTTCCAACCGTATTGCTTGCATGCAGAAACTCACTGTCTGCGATCGGTACAACACCAGGAAGATTGACGAATGAGCTCTTTGCACACGCGGCCGCCAAGATGAGAATAGTCAACTGGAACACACAGAATGAGATGCACATGTTTATTAAGAGCAAACATGAATACTAGTACGCATGTGCACACACATACATACACACACACAATTGCGTACACACATACATACACACACGCGCGCGCACGGGTGTACACATATGTACACACACAAACACAATCATATACATACACGTAATACATACACTATGGCTGTGTTTACATGAGAATTTTCAACCCGGGTTGAAAGTCTGTATGGTAGAAAAAATGGTTGGGTGTTGACGACAGTAGACCCAGGTAAATTACTGGTATGTCACCAAAAGTCCTGTATGGTCAGGTGAATGCTTTCGCGCGAAATTTGCGTGTGCAGTGCTGTTCAAACCTAGTGCGAGGTACGCACAGAGGTATGGCCGTACGATTTCTCGATTTCAACCCTCCTCCCAAGGGGAGGGCTGAAATTTCAACCCGGGTCAAGCGCAATGCGTCATGTAAACGCGCCAGCCAATCTGTGTTCATGGCGGGTTGAAACTCGAACCGGGTTGAAACGCCTCATGTAAACACAGTAGGGGTGAAACGAGTATCTATTTTGACCAATCGATCACTCATTCATAATATTCGATCGAGTATCCGATTATTTCGAGTATTTTATCAAAATTCAAAAGCGCTAGATTTGTGAGTTCTCGACCAATTCGGAAGAAATTATCTGTGAACATAGAACAAAAGTCGCCAACGTCTTGTACAGAGTGTAAAGTAACGATTTTCACCAGTGCTTTCATTATCTCATAACAAACTAACGTTACTTGCCGTGGTGATCGCATCGTCCAAGTCATAAAATACTGACTCAAAGGCATGCATAACGCATGCATACCAGTCGATAAGGGGTGCAACAGAAGTTTTGGAAAAATAGAACGCCAATACTAAAAAAAAAAAAAAAAAACAACAACAAAAAAACAAAACGATCGAGTGCAAAATTTCGAATACTCGCTCGTTTGAAATTTTGGAATGAATACCGTAATGTCGCGTGCATAAGCCGGATTTGTGCATAAGCCTGTCTCGTGTAGAAGCATGAAATCTGCAACAGCTTTTCGCGTACAAGCCTGTCGCATGCATAAGCCGGGCCAGTACACGAGACGCGCCACGTGTCGCGTGCGTAAGCCGGGCTACTACGCAAGACTGGTGAGCGCGCCTTTTACATGTTCATGTTTGCATGGTACCGTACACTTGCACACGCGGAAAACGTTTGTGTGTGTGTGTGTGTGTGTGTGTGTGTGTGTGTGTGTGTGTGTGTGTGTGTGTGTGTGTGTGTGTGTGTGTGTGTGTGTGAGAGAGAGAGAGAGAGAGAGAGAGAGAGAGAGAGAGAGAGAGAGAGAGAGAGAGAGAGAGAGAGAGAGAGAGAGAGAGAGAGAGAGAGAGAGAGAGAAAGGAGAGGGGGGACGCGGTTCAGGGAGCGAAAAAAAAAGAAAAAAAATCCCGTTGGAAAATGTTGGTTTTGACGTCCAAAAGTCAGCAGTTTGCGCATACAAGCCTGGTCATTGAGTGGTGCTTGTCATATAAGCCTGTCTCGTGTATAAGCCTGTCTTGTGTACAAGCCTGACTCCATCACCGGCTTATAGGCATATAAGCCCCGGCTAATGCACGCGACATTACGGTACTCGAATATTCGAACTAATCGTTTCACCCCTAAAACACAGCCTATGTATGCTATCAGACGATCACAGGGGTGGAGTACACTCCGCGAACGATGATACGAATGGTCAGACGGTTCAACGATATCCTCAAGGCAAAGCACCCACCTGCGGCTCTGGCAAGCGGCGGTACCACGATTCCAGGAGACATTCCCCCTCGACCTCATCTAGTCATGTGTTCCGACATCAACCGAGAAGCAATTCGCGAGGCAGCCCTGCATACCCAAAGCGCTTCAGGACCATCCAGTTGTTTAGCCTAGCGGATGCTGTCCCTTGGTGCAGACTATTTCCAGCCGACCTCTTGGTGCTTCCGATGACCTGTGCGATGCACTAGTCGCCTGCACTCGTTGGCATTGCCTCATCTTACATAGACCCTATGGTTTCGGGAGCCTTCTTGGACTACCATCTCATCCCACTCGATAAACACCCCGGTGGGAGACTGATCGGCATTGGTGAGGTGGTTCGCCGCATCGTTGGTAGGGCTATTCTGAGATGTGTGTCGACATCTATAACTACATCACAACCGGCTGGGTGTCTGCCTAGTGCTGCAATGAGTGTAATGCAAGATCTGAGTCATGACTTTCCGAATTCGTACGGGAATCGTCAGTGAGTTGTTGTTGTTGTTGTTGTCATGTGCTGACCTGTGAGGCCCACTGACAGGCATGGCCACTCAAGGCCAACTGGGAGGCCATGCCTTCTCCTCCCAGTGGTTCACTGTGCTTCTGGCGAATGCCGACCGCTACTAGTAGCTGCCGCCTTTGGAATGCCCTACCCGAATGCATGAAGTCGATTGTATCTGTACGCGAGTTCAAACGCATGCTCCGTGTGTTTTACTACGGCGAAGTGTAACGGTTTCAGCAGCCTGCCGCCGCCAACGAGGTGTGAGAGTAGCATGCTTCAATGATCTGGCACGTATTTCATTCAGAGCACTTTTTTCTCGTCTTACCCCTTGCTTCACTCATTGCGATTCCCTTTTTTACTCTCTTCTTACCCTGAGTTGTTACCACTTTCATAATGTGGGGGCATAACTGCCCATTTGACATGCAATGTAAACAACAGCAACAACAACAACAACGACGACGACGACGACGACGACGACGACAACAACAACAACAACAACAACAACAACAACAACAACAACAGTAGCAGCAGCAGCAACAACCTGTCAGTCAGCCTTCATAACATGCAACACATTTGCCTCATACTAGCTGCAGCCGTAACCAACAGCTATAGTCTGTTTCAAAAAGATTTACAATCAGGTTTGGGTCTTAAAAAGTATGAAGATAAGGGAAATTTGGACAATAAAGTACATAGAATGGCTTGTTAGGACACGGCAAATTGTTCTGTGAAGGTTTCGGAACAATTGGATCAGCCGTTAAGGAGTTAGAATTTTGGCCAGGTTTCCGGCCTTTTCCCATGGTTTACAATTTGCCCAGGAAGCCAGTATCGATTTTTTATCAAAACCCACGATTTATCCTTTCCTTTTTGGCCTTGTGGTTATGAATGCTGTCTGCTCATCATGAAGTTGTGAGTTCAAATCCCAACCTATCCTCAAGTCAAACTTTTTTTCTTCATTGTTTTGGTGGTCAAGCTGGTACGAGACAAAGAAGATGGCCAAACGACTTGTTGTTGTTGGAGCTCGCGCTTCCTGCCGAACTGACTGACACTTGACTGGCTCACGCCATGTGAACACACCCACAACATGTAACACTGCAATGGTGTGAGTGAATATGGAAGTCATCGCGCTGTAGCTTTTTGAGATTTATTCTAGTATTTCAAGATCGCCAATTTATTTGAATTTAGCAGTCAACGCCGTCTTCTATCAGCGTTCACAAGCGTCTGCTTTTCTCAATGTCGTCGAAGTCACACGGATAGCTTTGCCAAGTCATGGCCTTGGGAATGAGTCCGTGTCGATTTCGTTTTCGTCACACGGTGAGTAAATTGCATCGCAGCTCAAAGGAACTATTTTGGTCACAAAACGAATTGGGACCCATGCCGCTCGTCAACATTTACAACACTTTCGTTTCGACATGTCCTCTCTGACTCCATTATCGATACGAGGAAGAACTCGTTTGTTGTAAACCAGACGACAGACGTACATGAGTGTATCAACGTGAGTGAGTTGTCATTTTTCCTGCTTTCGCGCGGAATATTTCTTCGAGTTCACAGTGAGTTTTTCCAGGCAGCGCTCGAGTGCTCATACGGTAAGACGGCAAACTCCGCGGGCGATCGCAAGGATTGCAAATCTTTTTGAAACGGACTGTAGTGCAGCCCAACCCGGCTATTTGTTGATCGCCAGTGTCTGCTTTCATGTGAAGGTAACACTCCAGGCGATCCCTTGGCAATAGTCATGCTGGCCTTGGGTACTGTTGGGTACTGTTCCTCTATGCCAGGAGTTCTACAGGAGCAAAACAACACACAGTCTTGGTATGCGGATGACTCTACGGCTGCCGCTACCATTCGGGAGCTACGCCATTGGTGATCACTACTGGAGCAGCAAGGCCCTTTTAAATGGCTACTTTCTCAATTCAGCTAAGTCTATCCGGCTTGTCAAGACTGAATTTCTCCAAGTTGCAGAAACACTGTTTGCCGACACCTCAGTCTGGACACACAAATGGTTGGCGGGATCTTGGAGCTGTACTTGGGTCTCCGGAGTTCTGCGACACACCTAGCGGTATGTTAAAGTAGGCGCATGGAGTCTAGAGGTTCAGTGACCAGCCAAGTATGCCGTGACTCAGCCACAAGCCGCATATGCTGCGCTCATACATGGCCTTCGTCACGAGTGGTCCTTTGTTGCTCGAACGATCCCCCCCCCCCCCCACATCAGCGACCTTCTGGTTGTACTGGGCAAGTCCATCAGGAGACACTTCATCCCGGCTTTCACAGGTCGCTTCGCAACGGGAGACCGAGAGTCAGCCATACTGTCTCTGCCTTGCCGTGAAGCCGGTCTTGGCATCATTGGTCCAAGATCACTGGCGAACCAATTCCAGACCTCCAACACCATCACCCAACGCATCCTGCAGCAGAACTCAAGCATGGACGGTTTGCCTTCTGCCATTCGCACAGCCAACTCCACTGCTGCAGTGGCAAGAACACAGCCAGAGGATTGTGATCGAGTTACCTGACTGCTGGGAGACTGCGATGACAACACCCAGAGCACTTTGAAACTGGTTTCGGAATGATGCAAATGGGCTAACGTGCCGGCCTTATACGCAGCTCGGCTTTGTCCTGCACAAAGGTGCCTTCCGGTTTGCCCTTTGTCCTGAATTTGGCTGGGTGTCACAACGCCTGCCATCCACTTGTGTGTGTGTAGGAATGCGGTATTTGACACCAGCCAT